TGTGACACCTTAAAGACTAACAAACTGTGTCTGGCAAACACTTTTGGGAACAGCAACCAAGCTTATGTCAGCTAAAACATGTTAGTCTTTAGGGTGCACAAGACCCTGTGATGTCTTTTGCTGCAGCAAACCAACATGGCCATTCCACCGGGAATCTGTTCATTTAGCAATTTGCGTCTATTCTTTTCAGTTGGTTTCCCAGTGGTAAAGAGCTCAATGGAATAAGTACATTCTGCAAGCAAATTTCTCCTGCCCCATTATCACCAGAATGTGCCACGTCCTTCATTGTTCTACTTGTCTTCAGCAGATATTGTAAATTCACAATTTATCCGACATTTCCATGAAATTTCTCAAATTTACTTATGAATACCTAAAAACCAAATTAGTTAACGGAGGTAGGGATGTTATGCTGTGATAGATTACTGAAAAGATACCTGCATTCAGAAAAAAAAACCCTCATCCATATTGCCTCCACAACTATATAACTATCTTTACAACAACTTAATTCCCTAGCTGACATATCATATCCATATTTTTATGGGATGCTTAGCAATCCATGATTTTGAAAACATGCAAAACAAACAATTCCTCCATCCACAAATGCCATCAGGGTCAATATTTATTTGGTGCTGTCTCTCTCTCTCTCTCTCTCTCTCTGTGTATATATATATATATATATATATATATATATATATATATATAAAAAAACAGTACAGTGTGTATGTATATATGGAAATATATACATACACAAACATATATACACAGAGAGACATATACATACACACACACATACATATACACAAACACACATCCATCCATCCTAAACATATACAAGATCTCATATTTGCACTCTCCATCCATCTTCATGCATTTGAATAAAGTGAACCATTCTATATTCTTAATATTAAATTAAAATTGTGCTTGTTCTATATATAGCTTTTAAATGAACATAGAAGACCATTTCGATCCAAGTATTTATAACCTATGTCAGAAGGCTATTAATACTGAATGCTCCTTCTCCTTTTTGGCATATTGTACTCTCTTTCACACTGATGAGAAGAGAGACTACATTAGCTACAGTACATAAGGGAACAGATGTTATGTATACTCTGAATATGGCAAGGGCATGGATCTCAAGGTTAAAGCGGGGATTTCCGAGCGCACTATTATTCAACACCCTGGATAGCTCCCAGTTAGGGAGGGTGTAGAAATTCGACCAGTTATGCTGTTTCTGCCCACTCCCAATCCCTTTGGTGCGTAGCTGTATAGCTCAAGGAGATACTGTTCTCTGGATGACTTTCAAGCACCAGGTAAATAAGGACAAACCCCATTCTGTCCAAAAATCATTAAGCAAAATCCCAGCTGTCCTCAATCCTTGTAATCTCCCTCAACTGGTCTCTGGTTTTTCTTTTATTATTATTATTATTATTAAGCTAATAGCATCACATCCTATTCCAAAATGATCCAGGAAGAGAGCTATCAAAAAGTCACTTTTAAAAGGGTATTAAGCTAATACAGTCAGAGGCTGAATCTTGCGGGTACACGTTTCCAATTTCCAGGCAAAGAGTCCTGTCTCATTGTCCCATTCTGAATGTCTTTTGTCTCCTTTGTTTCCTTGTCTTTTTTCCCCTGACACAGAAAAGCAGGACAGGACAGGAAGAAAACTAACACTGTCATTCAAAGAACCAAGAACAGTGCATATATCTATGAATGGAGAGGGAGACCAAGACACACAACTCTGTCAGAATGGACCTACTTCTTGACATGACCACTTTTCATATATGAGGTAGCATGTTAACATCTGAAGGCCCCAGTCACAAAAATGCAGCTTGAGCAGGTGCAGAAATTGTAGTATGGTGATTGTTTGCTTGTGTGCTTGCTGTATGTTATTGACATTTTACTCTATTTTATTCTTGGTTTCTTAGGGCGCTTCCACAATCATATAACCCAGAATATCAAGGCAGAAAATATCTGCTTTGAACTGGGTGATCTGAGTCCACTCTGCTTTATATTCCAGTTCAAAGCAGATAATGTGGGAATTTATTCACCTGTGTGGAAGGGGCTATGGCTGCTCAGACTGGTGCAATGAGTTAAATCCTTGTGCTGTCAGGATTGTTGACTGAAAAGTCAGTGGTTTGAATCTGCGGAGAGGGGTGAGCTCCCATCTGTCAGCTCCAACTTCTCATGCAATGACATGAGAAAAGCCTCCCACAGAAGGGTGAAACATTCAGGCGGACAATGGACAATGTCCTTGCAGATGGCCAATTCTCTTACACCAGAAGCAACTTGCAGTTTCTCAAGTCGCTCCTGACACACACACACACACACACACAAAAGTTGCTCAGACAACATATCCTGAAAGGTACAGACACAAAAAATATAATAAGTAGATTTCCTTTTTGAAAATCCCAGATATAATTATACAAGTCTATCTACATGTGCATAACTTTGTTGAGTATGTATGTATCCAACAGGTGAGTGTTAAGTGTGTTACGCTGTCAAAACCAAATGGCATAGTGTCAGTCTTCATAGGATTTTAGTCAAGGTCAGATGTGGTGCTTCCACGCCAAACACTATTTGGGACAACATGGAGATAATACTTTGTTCTCCATTTCAAAACAAAGTATGGCGCCTATTTGTTTGCCTTTCTTGAGCAGCTGATTGGGAAACTGAAACTTGTTGTAACTTTGAATTAGAAAAAAGAGGGTGTTTATTTCAGGTTGCTCTCAATTTCTGGGTTCTGGGGGGAAGCAGCACATCTCAATTGTATCTTACCATGCCCCACTTTCTCGTGAGACAATCTTCATCAGTTTCCCCTTTCACAGGATAAATACGATGCAGAGATGATAAAGCAAGAAAAGCTCCCTCAGATCAAGTCACATTTCACACTCCAGGCTTTGCCTGCCAAAATTTTGAATTGTTTTTGTGCAATGTCTCATGTTACTGGGATGCAATGAGCGCACCGGAAAACTTGGGAAGACAAGGACTACCCCTCTTATCTTTTGTCTAGAAAGGCACTGCAGGGGTTCACTTGGACTACGAATCAATCCGGCTTCCAACTCTGAAGGTCAATGCCACATCACCTTGAGAAGAAAAGGCCCAGGGAAGAAGAGCTGGGGAGTTGTTTTGTTGTGTTCTGTGGCGCTCACAGGCAGGAAAGACTAACCTTTAGGAGGGGATAGGTTTCGGATGGTTCTCAGGGGAACATCTGAGCTACAAAGCCGGACAGAGTTGTCTTTGTCCCACTGAAATCAAGGGCAAGTCAATGAATCAAGAGAAGTGAATTAAATCCAAGAGGACCTCAAAGAGGACAAGTGCATTCTGCATGGCCCCTGTGGAGTATCTGCCCTGCCGTGAGGATCCCAGGAGCAAGCGAAGAGTTTAAGGTTGACAATCCTAGACATAATTTACCTGGAAGTAAAGGTAAAGGTTTTCCCCTGACATTAAATCTAGCCATGTCCAACTCTGGGGATTGATGCTCATCTCCATTTCTAAGCCAAAGAGCCACCGTTGTCCATAGACACCTCCAAGGTCATGTGGCCAGCATGTGACCATGAGGGTCCCAGGAACCAGGGAAGAGTTTAAGGTTGACAATCCTATACATAATTTTCCTGGAAGTAAAGGTAAAGGTTTTCCCCTGATATTAAGTCTAGTCCTGTCCAACTCTGGGGGTGGGTGCTCATCTCCATTTTTAAACCAACAAGCTAGCATTGTCCATAGATACCTCCAAGGTCATGTGGCCAGCATGACTGCATGGAGTGCTGTTACCTTCCTGCAGGAGCGGTACCTATTGATCTACTCACATTTGCATGTTTTTGAACTGCTAGGTTGGCAGAAGATGGGGCTAAGAGCAGGAACTCACCGGCGACCTTTTGGTCAGCAAGTTTAGCAGTTCATCAGTTTAACCCACTGTGCCACTGGGGGCTCGTGGAAGTAAGTCCTGCCAAACATGGTCATGAGCAAAGAAGGGCTTCTGAAATAAACATGTATGTCCCCATCACCTGAAAGGAGGGAAGTCCCTTCGGGGGGGGGGGGAGAAGGGCGGGGTAGAAATGCATGAAATAAATAAACACAGTCAGGAGCAAACAAGGGCTTCTGAAATAAACATGCATGTTTTGTTTTGTAGGAATTTTGTCACCAAGCCTTGACCTACAAAAGGATGCGTAGAGAAGGAGAAAGAAGTAGTGAAAAAGTTGGGAATTTCTGAAGTTCTCTCTTTTGGGGAAAATGTCCTCCCTGCACTCCTCACCTTTAGCAAGAGTTCGGATGAGGACATCTATGGTGATGGGAGGGAAAAGGAGAAGTAGGTGCATGGGATAGAACATCCTATGGTAGGCATGGGCCAACTTGGGCCCTCCAGGTGTTGTTTTTTTTTTTTTGTCGTGTCAGGAGTGACTCCTGGTGTGAGAGAATTGGCTGTCTGCAAGGACGTTACCCAGGGGACGCCCGGATGATTTGATGTTTTTATCATCCTTGTGGGAGGCATCTCTCATGTCCCGGCTTGAGGAGCTGGAGCTGATAGAGGGAGCTCATCCACCTCTCCCCGGATTCGAACCTGCGACCTGTCGGTCTTCAGTCCTGCCGGCACAGGGCTTTAACCCATTGCGCCACCGGGGGCTTAAGCGGTTGAGGGGGAAAAGAAAAGGGCCTGAGGCTGTTAGGAATGGTGGGAGTTGGGAGTCCAAAACTTCTGGAGGGCCCAAGTTGGCCCATGCCTGCCCTATGGAGTGCCTTTTGCCAAACTCTTCCATATATTTTGGGAACAAGCTCTATATGCCTGGAGAAGGTTCTGATGGAGTGGGAACTTGAGAGTCAACTAAACTTCTCTGTGGGTCTCCCCACTCCTAAGCAGGGCATCGCAATGCCTTCCAGGTGTTGGCACCCTTGGGCCACTCTCTTTTCCAGCAGTTGGGTTTTCCTTGGGACAGTCCTCCACCGCTTCCCCCCCCCCCCCATGCGTTGACCTTCCAACCGACCTGCTCCCCAAACCCAGGACCCACCTGAAGTCGCTGTAGGGGTGGATGATCCAGAATCCTGCAGTTTTAACCCGTTCCTGCTCCTTCTCCACCGCCTTCTGGCTCCCGAACATGCGGAGGGAGAATTTGTTGACCCCGGGCTGGAGCATGGAGGTGAACTGCCGCTGCATGAAGCCGTACTGTTGCTGCTGCTGCTGCTGCTGGCGGCGGGCGGCGTCGGGGTCGTCCAAGCATCCCGGCCCGGGCTCCTCTCCGCCGGCGCCGCTCCCGTCCACTTTGAAGCAGACCGAGTTGCCATGCTCCTTGAGGCTGCCCGAAGCGCCCGGGCTGCCCAGCGGCCCCTTCTCCGCCTTGCCCTGGAAGCAGGCGTTGGCGCCGGGGCTGCCGTCCTCCCGGCTGCCGGGCGAGGAGCTGGGCTTGCTGTCCTCCATGCCCGCCTCCTGCTGCTTCTCTTCCTGCCGCCCGAGGAAAGGGCTCCAGCCTGGCCGTGGGGAGAAGAGGAGGAAGATGGGAGGAGAGACAGAGAGAGCGGCGGAGGGACGGTCAGCCCTTCAGCCGCTCCTCAGCGCTGCCTCCCGCGCCTGGCGATCATCGCGAGTCCAGCCGGCTCCGGCTCCAGCTCTGGCTCCGACCCACGCGAGGGAGAGGAGGGGAGGGGAGGGGAGAGAGGTAAGGCGAGGCCGGCCAGGCTCCCACGCGCGCCCTCTGCCGGCCCGACCCCGCCGTCTCCCCCGCCTGACATTGAGACACCCGCCGGAGCCCTTCAGCCCAACGCCGGAGGAGGAGGAGGAGGAGGAGGAGGAGGAGGAGGGGGAGGCGCGCAGGGGTCGTGCCCGCTTGCTCCTCTTTGCATCTCAAGCCCACCAGGCGAGGTTCTCATCATCATCCTCATTAGGAAAGGGCCTGAAACAAAGGGCATGTTTAACCTTCAGAAGAGAAGGCAGAGAGGGGGCAGGAGGATGGCCATGTATCAATATTTCACTCAGAGGCGGCCCTAGGTAATTTTCAGCGGTAAGCAAACAGTATTTTGGTGCCCCCCACCACCAATCACTGATATATATTTTCGGTTCGTCGTGGGAGTTCTGTGTGCCATATTTGGTTCAATTCCATCATTGGTGGAGTTCAGAATGCTCTTTGATTGTAGGTGAACTATATCCCAGTAACTACAACTCGCACATGTCAAGGTCTATTTTAGAAAAGGCAGAGGAACCAGATTGCCAATATCCGCTGGATAATGGAGAAAGGCAGGGAGTTTCAGAAAAACATATATTCTGCTTCATTGACTATTCTAAAGCCTTTGACTGTGTGGATCATAATAAATTGTGGCAAGTTCTTAGTGGGATGGGCATCCCAAGCCACCCTGTCTCTCTCCTGAGGAATCTGTACAAGGACCAAGTAGCAACAGTAAGAACTGACCACGGAACAACAGACTGGTTCAAGATTGGGAAAGGCGTACGGCAAGGCTGCATACTCTCACCCAACCTTTTTAACTTGTATGCAGAACACATCATGCGATGTGCGGGGCTGGATGAATGCAAAGCTGGGGTGAAAATTGCTGGAAGAAACATTAACAACCTCAGATATGCAGATGACACCACTCTGATGGCCGAAAGCGAGGAGGAGCTGAGGAGCTTTCTAATCAAGGTGAAAGAAGAAAGCGCAAAAGCTGGGTTGCAGCTAAACATCAAAAAAACCAAGATTATGGCAACAAGAATGATTGACAACTGGAAATAGAGGGAGAAAACGTGGAGGCCGTGACAGACTTTGTATTTCTAGGCGCAAAGATTACTGCAGATGCAGACTGTGGCCAGGAAATCAGAAGACGCTTACTTCTTGGGAGGAGAGCAATGTCCAGTCTCGATAAAATAGTAAAGAGTAGAGACATCAGACTGGCAACAAAGATCCTCCTAGTCAAAGCCATGGTATTCCCTGTAGTAACCTACGGATGTGAGAGCTGGACCTTAGGGAAGGCTGAGCGAAGGAAGATCGATGCTTTTGAGCTGTGGTGTTGGAGGAAAGTTCTGAGAGTGCCTTGGACTGCGAGAAGATCCAACCAGTCCATCCTCCAGGAAATAAAGCCCGCCTGCTCACTGGAGGGAAGGATACTAGAGACAAAGTTGAAGTACTTTGGCCACATCATGAGGAGACAGAAAGCCTAGAGAAGACAATTATGCTGGGGAAAGTGGAAGGCAAAAGGAAGAGGGGCCGACCAAGGGCAAGATGGATGGATGGCATCCTTGAAGTGACTGGACTGACCTTGAAGGAGCTGGGGGTGGTGACGGCCGACAGGGAGCTCTGGCGTGGGCTGGTCCATGAGGTCACTAAGAGTCGGAGATGACTGAACGAATGAAGAACAATATGTGAAGGTCTATTTTTCCCCAAGAGCGCCTCAAGAGCGCCCCTGGGCAAAATCAACTATACTGCAAATGCTTACTTTGCGTAATGGGTTGAGCCGCCCCTGATTTCACTATGCAAATTATCATCTTTCTTTCTATCTATCTATCTTCTTTCTTCTATATCTATAAAAAATGCTCTGTGCATAATGCGTACCTTAAAAACAAAAGAACTAATGAATGAAATCACACCAAATTTGGCAATAAAACGTCTCACAACACAAGGAGTGACCATCACTCAAAAAATTATGATTTTGTCATTTGGGAGTTGTAGTTGCTGGTATTTATAGTTCACCTAAAATAAAATAGCATTCTGAACTCCACCAATGACAGAATTGAACCAAACTTGCCACACAAAATTTATTTATTTATTTATTTAGAAGTTTTCTATACCAGCCTTCTCACCGCAGCAAGGGACTCTGGTCGGTTTACAACATATATGAAAGTACAATAATATATAAGTACAACAAAGTGCAACATAATTACATATTAAAATAGTACAATAAAGTACAATAAAAACATCATCATCACAATTACCTAAGCCAAGTCGTCAATCCATTCATAGTCATAGTCATAATCATAGTCGCAGTTCATCATCCTCCTTCCTTGTGGAAGGAGGTTATAGATTCAGTCCTCGAATGCCACATTCCAGAACCAGGTCTTTAGTAGTTTCCTGAACATCAGGAGGGAGGGAGCAGATCTAATCTCTAGTGGGAGGGAGTTCCAAAGCCTCTCTCTCACAACCAACAGAAAATACTGGAAGGGTTTGGTGGGCATTGACTTTGAGTTTGAGAGTTCTAGTTCACCTACATCCAGAGAGAACTGTGAACTGAAACAATGATGGATCTGGATCAAACTTGGCACAAGCACTCAATACGCCCAAATATGAACACAGATGGAGCTTTGGGGAAATAGTCGCTGGGATTCAAAGTTCACCTACAATCAAAGAGCATTCTGAACCCCACAAACGACAGAATCGGGCCAAACTTCCCACACAGAACCCCCATGACCAACAGAAAATACTTAAGGCCATCCAATCCAACTCCCTTCATCAGGGCAAAAAAACGTAATCAAAGTCCTCCTGACAAAGAGCCATCCAGCCATAGATAGATAGATAGATAGATAGATAGATAGATAGATAGATAGATAGAAAGTAGATAGATAGATAGATAATATGATTCACACACACACAGAAATAGTATCATAGATTTGAAAGGGGCCCTTAAAGAAGGACAATGATATGTTGCATGTTCCAGGGTGGGCAAACCAGACAATCTCCACATCAACATTGACAAAGAAACAGCAAGAAATACTGTTTACCCACAAGCAGAAAGAAATTACATATATTAGAAACCAACACTTTATCATTACTTTATTTTCCAGATCGACAGACTAGGCCACTACAACACATGGCAGGGGATGGCTAGAATCATAGAGTTGGAAGAGACCTCATAGGCCATCCAGTCCAACCACCTACCAAGAAGCAGGAAAATTGCATTCAAAGCACCCCCAACAGTTGGCCATCCAGCCTCTGTTTAAAAGCCTCCAAAGAAGGAGCCTCCACCACACTCCAGGGCAAAGAGTTCCACTACTGAACAGCTCTCACAGCATACCCTCATGAAGCTGGAAAGTTAGATAGCCTCTGTGTGTCTGTCTATATCTGTTGTGTGTCTATGGCATTGAATCTTTGCCATGTATATGTGCATTGTGATCCACCCTGAGTCCCCTGCGGGGTGAGAAGGGCAGAATATAAACTCTGTAAAATAAATAAATACATACATAAATAATTGTAATGTGGGCTTGTTCCCTTGTAAGCCGACCCGAGTCCCCTCGGGGAGATGGTGGCAGGGTATAAACATAAAGTTATTATTATTATTATTAAGCAGGAAAATTGCATTCAAAGCACCCTTGACAGATTACATTGAACCACCCGCCGGAGCCCTTCAGCCCAACACAGGAGGAGGAGGAGGAGGAGGAGGAGGAGGAGGAGGAGGAGGAGGAGGAGGAGGAGGAGGAGGAGGAGGAGGAGGAGGAGGAGGAGGAGGAGGAGGAGGAAGAGGAGGAAGTATGCCGGGGTCGTGCCTGCTTTCACCTGTTTGCATGTCAAGCCCACCAGACGGGGTTATCATCATCATCATCAGGAAAGGACCTGAGGAAAGGGCATGTTTAGCCTTCAGAAGAGAAGGCAGAGAGAGGACATGATGATGGCCATGTATCAGTATTTAACTATGCGAATCATAGAATCTTAGAGTTGGAAGAGACCTCATGGGCCATCCAGTCCAACTCCCTACCAAGAAGCAAGAAAATTGCATTCAAAGCACCCATGTCAGATGGCCATCCAGCCTCTGTTTAAAAGCCTCCAAAGAAGGAGCCTCCACCACAATGGCAGAGAGTTCCACTGCTGAACAACTCTCACAGTCAGGAAATTCTTCCTTTTGATGCAGTCCAAAACCCCATTGGCTTTTTTAGCTGCTGCATCACATTATTAGCTCACATCCAACTTTGATCCACTAAGACTGCAAGATCTCTTTCACGTGGATTGTTGTTGTTGAGCCAGGTGTCACCTGTTCTCTATCTGTGCATTTCAGTTTTTCTGCCTAAATTTGGGGTATTTGACTTATTTCTTTTTCATGCATTTTCTAGGGAAAATAAGGCACAGTATTTATGACTGTAAATGTCCTAACTTTCCAGCATTTGACTGTTTATATATTATCAGACAGTGTTCCAGACTCATCTAAAGCTTCCTGTCACAATTCCCCATTGGACACCAATCTGAGCTTGTGCCACTCTGATCCCTTTTTTCACAGTGTGAGCAAGGACTGCTAGAGAAAGTCAGGTGTTCCTCCTTTCTGGCCAGTGTGAAAGCAGAGGCAGAGAACAGTCTTAGAAAAGTATCTTGCATTGGCCATAGTTCCCAACTGAAAATCTGGTTTAATTCAATAAAAAGTCAACAAAATGAGATCAATAAAACAGTCCCTCAAGCCAGGGACAGTTTGAGGTCAAGTGGCAACAGTAATTTGATGTAAAGAATCTCAGTTCATTTTGACATCATTTGAGAAAAAGGAAGTGGCATCCACTATGAAGCATCCCCTTCATTCTGATACTGATATGTCTTTGGCTTTACCCAGAAAGAAATGAGATAGGAAGATGAAACTTTACATTTATTCCACATACTCTCCACTGATATCAACAAACTTCTTATATTGGCATTCCAAGTTCTGTAAGCCTTGCAAAAAGAAGGATTTTGGTCATGCCTCAAACCAGTCATCC